CAGAGAGGGAGAGTGCGTTTACTCAGACAAGGACGTTACTGCAAGTCAGCGCAAGTCTTCGAGTGTAAAGAATACAACATATTTAGGGCAACAAACGAGTGTAATATAGGTCCATCGAGCCAATCAGCTTCGGTCCTGGATTGGCTACCGGCACGATTGGCTGCGACTCAGTGGCTGCATGCAGGTTACATTTTTGATGGTTGGTTGCTTGATTATCCTGTATGCATTCGCCTCGTGTAGGCCGATCGATAGCCTGCTGTGAATGCGGCTGCTTGCTGCATGCACCCAACAGCCCTCCTTGTGGAACAGCTCACGATAGCCTAATTGTCGTACCCCTTTAAAGGGCGAATTTACTGAGACATGCCAGAAATGGAATCTCAAATACTTTAAAAGTAAGTTCATTTTCGTAGACAAAGGAGACAACAGTGTGGAAAAAATACCACTCAGGTAATTTTTTTCGAAGGTGATGTCGCTTCATGCAACTGGAAAGATGCCAGAGAACCAGTGTGTTTTTTATACTCGCCAGTAGTGGAATGCCACTAGAGTAATTTTCCACTCAGGGCTGTACTCAGGTATTTCGGTCGATATCTGCTGTTTCGCTATCAACCCTTACAAATATGCTTGATAGCTTCAGTCGTTGCACTCGATAAAGGAGTTAATGGATGCATCGGGAGCCATTAGGCACGAAGGACGACAGCGGAAACTGTGGGGATTATAGCATTACATGATCAGCAAACGAAACTACGGGAGGAAAAGGGCTGAGTGCAGGCTATCCCATAAGTACACAGGTGACAGCTATTGACACCATATTTGGTTGTCAGTGAAATAAGCAGGATCCTGGGTATCATGAATAAGCAGTCGTGTTCACATTGTAATAAACACTCTTCATTCTTTTGAACTACATTCTGACAGTGTCTACTTACTGTTTGATTTAGGTGAGCGGGAGCATAGCGAATCGCTTACAAATAAGCAGGTCACCGCGGCAGAAGTTACCGATGACTTCAACGACCGCTTTCTACCATGACTACTTCAAATCGGTGAATTGGAGGCATGTATGAAGACCGCACCTCCGAATCCAAGCGGACAGTCGCTCCATAAAAACCTTTGCAGCACGAACCAAAAGTTAACTGAGATTTTGGACAACTAGAGGGCGTGCACTGGTTGAATTTGTTCCGCGCCAAGCGGAATTATTTTAAGAGTAACAAAAACACCAATTAAGTGTCTTGCGCGACACGCTGGCCACAACAACAGCCCCCGCTGTAATCATAACTGGCACATAACATGCGAATTCCATGCTTGAATCCTGTATCACTTATAATAGAACAGGGCAGCCATCAAGAAGATGTTCAGTATACTAGGAGTTTTCATAATGGATGAAAGGTCCTCGCATTAAATGCGCAATGATCTGAAAACAGTCGATATCGAGTGAATGTCACATGTCAAGGTAGACACTGTCTGTATTCCTATTGGTCAACCGCGTTCTAGCATCTTCTCCCTGATTGGTTCACGCTCTGTCGTTCTGCTACATGCTCCCACGCGCTAAGACTATCATTGCGCTTTGTTGTGCGTGCGTGACTTTGTGTACAACGTAGGCGGGTACATTTGTCAATAAATTCATCTTATTCACCAGTTCTGTTTGATTGACACATTAATTTCGAAATAGGTCTAAACAGGAAGCGAAAAGTACACGAACAACAGAGATTGTGCGGGGTATGGAAGAAATATGCTCGAAGACAGACGAAATGTATAAGCGTTGAATGCGAAACGAATAGCCATCATCCTACGTCAGTGGGTAGGTAGTCAGATTTATCTTACACATTCGACTATAAGTCTATCTTTTCTGCCTTGGGAAGTCTAAGTGTGAATAACTTTGCAAGGGACGTAGTTTTTGAGTCTGCAAGGATGGGAAAGGTTAATACCTACTTTGGAGAATAGTACTCAAACCGTTTCTATGCCTGTAAGCTTCTTCGTTTGGATTTGTTAATGGAAATCCTTGCAGAACTTGACAAACACGTGTATTGTCAACGGCTCTCAAAATTGTTATGAAACAGACGGAGCAATATCAAAAGTTTTTTTCGAGAGAATGTTGGCAGTTACCTTCCGAGTCTCTCGTAGCCCTTTTCTGCATCCAGGAGACGAATCTGTGACCACTCCGGATCGCAAGGTTTGAGCCACTCTTCCGCGGCGCGCTTAGCCTTAAGAGGAAAAAAGAAACCAGCATTAAGGGTGGTCAGGAAAAAAATTTCAATGTTGCAGCAAACGTACAACTAGGCATCGTAGTGAAAATGCGATCCCAAAGTGGTAAGTCAGAAAAAGGAAGAGCCTTCAGCGGAAGAAGTATGACTTTTCGGGTATTTGTTACGTCTATCCATTTTCAGAGACTGAACATTTCATCAACATCTGTTTACGCTGCTCTTTTTCGTGTGCATAGTCTATCAATACATAGCCAAATGAATTTGCCTACCCCGTATCTGGTTTTAAGAACCTTCTTAGCGTGAAGCAATCCCGGCATGGAACAATCGGTACCGGCAGTTTGACCGTCGATTTCGACGATGTCCGCTGCGGGCCTCAACAGGCCGAGACAAACGTGGTGACGCCCGTGGTATTATACTGAAATTAGACCCGTGGAGAATCTGTCCCACTCTCTAACCACTCCCACACCCGAACCCGATGTCTAGACAAAAGTTGATAAGACCGGAGATGAGGGAGGGCGCGGGAGGCTGGCATGACCAACACCCAACACGCGTACCAACAGTACGACCCTCGCTAGGTTGGCTCTCGACTGAGAGCGCCGCAAAGGCTACGTTAAGAGAGATCCATTGCAGCCTGACTCTCAGCCCGCAGTTAGCCACTCCACACAACAAAACACACACTCGGCCGATTGCGGTGTCCAAGTTACCCCGTCAGTTGGCAACACTCCAAGCCATAGCTATTATCACACCACGATAGTTTCAAGTGCATCAGATTGACTATAGTGAGGAGGGAAGTGGGCTGAGGGTCGAGCTCACTCTCTCCCCCACTGCCAACGACAGGGCACCGCCTAGCTGATCGGTCGCCTGAGGTGGGATGGACGCAGTGCTAAAGAGGAAATCAACTAAACCAACTATCCCTACGGCCAATGTGTACGGGCGTGAGACAAGCCAGGTTGAGGAGCGGATCGGCGCGGAACAACAGGCGGTCAACTTCTGGGGGATGGGGCGGCGAAACAAGCACTGGCGACACGGTGGCAGAAACAGCACTACGGCCGGTCAATGAGGAGGGCGGCTGCGGGGATAAAGGTGACGGTGAGATGCGAG